CAGCTCCCAATGGAGTATATTAACAATTAATGGGAGCAATATTATAAAATATTTTCATTTATTTCATGTATTTCCTAATTTTCATGTTTTTCGATATTTTCATGCTAATTTTCCCGCTTAAATATTTACTATAAAAGACGTTCACTTTTTCGATTGATAAGGGACTGATTTGAGATTTACTATGCTGTGATGTATAGAAATTAATGCCATTGTGAACTTAAAGTTAAAAAGTATTTGGAATTATAATAAATAAAGGGAAATAAAAGGTATGAATATTACAGTTGTTTTCAACTTATTTATTCAACATTAAACATCCGATGTAATGGGGATAAAAGTTAAAATAGTTTAAAGGTTTAAAAGTTGTTATTATATCTTGACTACAGTGGCATTATGCCCATCCAAGGGTGTAAATGAATGAACAAGTAAATGTCAAGAAAAGCTTTCATTTTGCCATAATTCATTTTAATATAAAGATTTGTTTCACATTGACATTACGCAACGCATGGATTCAAACAAAATTTTCGTAAATATCCATTAAAATTTACCTGTTACTTTAATTTCATAAAAAGAGTGGGGCAGTCTTTTTATATTTAAGGCAGTTTTAAATTTTATTGTATACATTGTCCAATATAACATGTTGGTCAATCACCATTTTAACAGTCAATCTTTTGAAATATATAGTTATTCCAGCTCAACTTGACTATGAAAACATGAGCATAATGTCACTTTAAATCAGGAGTAAAGATAAACCTATTTGAAAATAAAAAATGTGGATTTTTTTGTAGGCATGTAAATAGATGATAAAGTATGTGGTGAATACGTTGTTATCTGAATATCCTCATGTCAAATAAATGTCATGTGTCGTTGGAAACAAAAGCATTTTGTGAGGATTCTCTTGTATAATTCTTCAACAACTGATCACAATAGAGATTAAGAGATCTATGAACCTAATAAATAACTTGTAATTGATAGTCTGATAATATATATACATGTAAATATAAAATCATAGTCATAGTGAAAAAATCGAATTGTCATTTCTTTGGAATGTAAACGAAGTAAACTTTTCATGAGTAATATAATTAATTGGGTCAGTAAAGGCACTCGAATAAAGTCAGTTTTATACAGAGATTCTTTTTATTTAAGTTATGTTGGATTTTTGACGGATTTTAAACTTGCATACCTTATCCTTAATCTAAACGTAAGTTATTATCTTTTAATATCCTTCATTATTAAACTTAGCAGATTAAATGGGCTGATTTAAAAATTCTTTTGAATAACATTACATGCTTAGAAGAATGCAAGGCTAAAACTAAAGGCAAGGCTATCATAAAGTAGTTATATTTATTACGACACTTCTGTTTCGTGAAAACTACATACATCGTAATAATGTTTATCAAATATAATCGCCAGGATGAACGGTGCTAGAAATTATATGTAATGCATTATTCTTTTTGTCATAACTGGAATACTCATTGTGGCAAGTTAAGTAGGGTGTTATTAAATTGGTAAAATTGACAAGAAAATGTAGAACTTTGAGTGAGAATCTATTATACAAAAGCTCAAAAATATTAATTAATGTGTTTTCCTATGTGTCTGTGAAACAAGGAATGTCCTTCTACTGCAAGTCTTTTACATGTACCTGGAAGACCTAAAGTGACATGTAAAACTAAAGTAAAATATCACTTTATATGGCTTATTAAACAGTGTCTGAAAAATAATAACCATGAAAATGCTAATGGGCAGTTGTATATAAAGTTTTTGACACTCAGACGACACTTTTTATATCAAAATCTGAGTATACTGTTATAATACTGAGTATACTGTTATAATTTATTTTCAACATCTTAACCGTATCGCCATTCTTATTTTAATCCAGATGTCGTGTTAACAAAGAAACACAATTCTATTCATTGGTCAAATGAAAAGTGACCTTAATCCATTTCTTAACTATTTGACTTACAACCATTGCATATGTTTATTTTAATCAAGCATCTATGTTTACCGAGAATCATGCCTGTCATGGCATATATATTATACTTTGTAAACATTTCACCCAGAGGCTAGGCAATTTGTTTTCTTAAACTTTTGACAGAGGTGAAACCATTTGTCAAAGAAAACAGTGACTGGCATCACAATTCACGGGCAGATAATTTTAATATGATAAAGGTGTTGGTGTTTGTTAAGCTATACAAATTAGTTTGTACAACTTAGATTGTCACAATGATGAAACAATTTACATGAAATGGCATGATTTTGTCGAAGTCATTTTTACAAAGTCTCTCTCCAAACGAGCGGCATTTCAACTGCAAAAAGTATGAAAAGACTAAATATGATGAATATTATCCCCCACCGAAAGGCGGCAGGGGATATAGTTATAGTCTCCATCCGTCCGTCCAACCTCTCCGTCCGTCCTTCAGTCCAACATTTTTGTCCAGAGCATATCTCAAAAAGTATTTGATGTAGCAACTTGAAACTTCATAGGTGGATATATCATATTGAGAAGGAGTGCAGTGCACAAGAGTGATAACTCAACCCTGCATAATTTTTCAGTGATTGCCCTTTGTTATTTTTCATACTTAATTTTCATCTGAGTGGAGCATTACTCAAAAGTCTTTGAGATGTCAACATCAAAAACAACATGAAACTTCATTGGTGTGTAGATCTTATTGAGGAGGAATGCTGTGCTCAAGAATGACAACTTTACACTTTAAAATTTTTGAGTCATTGCCCTTTATTATTTTTAGTACTTTTGTCCTAACCATATCTCAAAAAGTATTTGAGGTATCAACTTGGAACGTCATAGGTGGATAAATCATATTAAGGAGGAGTGCAGTGCACAAGATTGATAACTCTACCCTGCATAATTGTTCAGTTATTGCCCTTTGTTATTTTAACTTAATTTTTGTCCAGAGCATAACTCAAAAAAGCCTTTGAGATATCAACATGAAACTTCATAGGGTGGAAATATCTCACTCAGTAAGTGTGCAGTTCACAAGAGAAATGACTTTACGCTTAATATTTTTCGAGTTATTGCCCTTTGTTAATTTTCATACTGAATTTTTCACCTGAGTGGAGCATAACTCAAAAGTCCTTGAGATGTCAACATGAAACTTCATAGGTGGATTTATCTAATTGAGGGGGAATGCTGTGCGCATGAATGATAACTCTACCCTTTATAATTTTTGAGTTATCGCCCTTTGTTATTTTTCATACTTTTTGTCTGGAGGTATCTCTAAAAGTGTTAGATGTATAAACTTAAAACTTCATGGATGGATAGATCTCACTGGGGAGGAATGCAGCACAAAAGAATGCATTATTTTTCAGTCATTGCCCTTTGTTTTTTTCAGCCATCAGTAATCACATACGTTTCAAATCTATAATCACTTCAGCCATCAGTTTTCATTACCAAAATACCTCTTTATATTGAACTATTCTGCTCTACTACATATACATTCGTTCAATGAGCAAACACATTCGCCGGGGAATGGCCATGTTAACATGGCTCTTGTTTATTTCTATAAGGCGCTATCAATTTTGAAATAAGATAATAAACTTATCTAAACGCACTATTAAATTACTTCTTGTTTGTTTTCACCGCACGTACTATTGATTTAACCAAGCATATTGTTTTGTGTCATAAATAATTATTTCTTGTCGCTAAAACAATGTGAAAATATCACGTTATTATTATTGCCTATTCATTAATGACCAAGTAGTACAATATCCGATCTATAAGCACATGTTTTTGTGAAGTGTTATATGTTACGCACTCTTTGTTAATGTTTACTCTTTGTAACACTTTCACATTCGTTAACCGCATACTTTTAAATGCAATTTCAAAATAATTAAAATGCGTCATTTTATATTTATATTTCATTGCATAATCGTTAACAAATTATTATAATAGTATTATGCTGTTAATTATTTTTCACATTCCTTTCAAATATCATAAATAATTCATTTAGAATTAAAGGCATGTAAATTGTGTTCTCAGTAACGAAAAGCGTTAACAGCGGCGGAGATACAATTTCAAAGTGAGATAACTAAAGCAAAACTAATGATGAATAATTATTCTGATAAAAGTTAAATTGTTCTTAATCCAAAATTGCTGATAATTAATTGCATTATTCGTTAATTAATGTTATTAAATGTTATACAACTGTTAACTGTTTTCAAATGATTTAACTTTTTGATTCTGAAATCCAAATACGACAATTTAAACGGGACATGAAGTAAGTAATAATATATATTTAATAAAATATAAGGAAAAAATACATTAAATACATTTATTTATAAATAAAATCAAACTTAATGGTAGTTTGAAGATATTATTGTTATTTTATAAATTGAAACCATGTGAACATTTCACGTTATTATTATTTCATGTTAATAACTCTCCAATTTGTAGATTTTCGATCTATGGGGATGAAAATGAATGCGAAGTGTTCCATGTAATGCAGTCTTTGTTTAATGTTCATTCTCTGTAACAGTGCATTCGTTAACGGCATACTTTTAAATACAATTATAAAATAATTGAAATGCGTCATTTTATGCATAGAGGATTAAAGATTATGATAATACTTTAATGCAGTGAATTGTTTAATTTTTCCATTCCTTTCAAATATCATAATAATTCATTTAGAGTTATAGGCATGAAAATTGTGTTCTTTTTCACAGTAACGAAAAGCGTTAACAGAAGCGGAGATGCAATTTCAAAGTGAGATAACTAAAGCAAAACTAAGGATGAATAATTATTTTGATAAAAGTGGAATTGTTCTTAATCAAAAATTGCTGATACTTAATTGCATTATTCGTTAATCAATGTTATTAACTGTTATAAAACTGTTATCTGTGCTAATCACATCAATCAACAAGTGGTAATGCCTCGCTGTAACTGGTAGAACTGTTAAGATAAACATTCCCGTACGTATAGCAAGACTTTACTAAAACATGATCGACAGAGCAATATTTACTCAGTAGAGAGGAGAGTTAACATGTGCTAGGATATATATCTATAACTTTAATTTGATACATTTTGATATGAAACAGTGAATTAAATTTTTCTCAACAACAATAATAATTTTTATAATAAAAAATTATTTTCAATATAAGAAAAGCAGCTGGACTTGACCACACATAACATAGTAAGTTGCTTTATTCCTTTATTTCACTTTATCATTGTATTTTGTTATTGAAATAATATTAGATTTAAAGAGCATTTACCAAAAAATTTACTTTCTGATTCTCTTTAAAGCAAATGCTATTGCAAGTGCAAATTTTAAAAGGGCATGAAGAAAATAATAACAGAAAAAAATGAATAAATTTATTGATATAAAAACTAAATGGTATTTTGATATAAGTGTGATTTTCAAGGAGTTTCAATGTTTGGTAAAATTTTATTTGTTTTTCCTGAAAATGGTCGATTCAAAGATATATTAATTGGAAAAATTTCATTACCATTTAGGATAATTTCATTTTTCTTGAAATAAATTATAAGTTTTCTTATTTCATAGGAAAACATTTCCATGACCTTTATTTAAATATAAAGGGACATTATGCCTCAAAAATAACTCTTAAGAAATGTCAAACATATTTTCCGTAGTGTTTAAATAATGGATTAGAAGCATGTTAAGATGTTTAACAACTAAAAGAAGTGGGAATGTATTGTAAATTTAGCGAAATGTAAGCTAAGTAGTATTTTGACTTCCATAAAAAATACTAATTCACTATAAGCATAGAAATTATCAACAGCTAAAGATGCAACAGTTAATTCACTTTTGTAGCAAGTTAGTTGTAATTACTTCTAAAAAATGTAACAAATATTACTGATACCAAATGTTAACATCTTTTGAGAGAGAGAGAAAAAAAGATCGGTTTTTAAGGCATTTCTTACTTTAGATTCTTTCTTCATGCGTGAAACATTTGTCCATTTTATAGATTCATTTTGCATTGGAAATGGATCTCATTATTCGGCATTCATGATGAAACATTTCCATCGAATATTAGGAGAAATCTGTCCACGTCATTGGCCTTAATGAGTTACACTGGCACTCTAACAGTGGCCTTATCGTTCTCTATCTTAGCAAGCCAACTGTACGTAATTCCTAGATAATTGATAATGCAAGGTTTACAAGATCGGACACTGTTACGGCCTACATTTCCCTGATGTATAGTGAAGATTACGGAATATATCAATCCTAGTATATTAATAGATGCCAGCAATACTCTTTTTAGCAGAATATATAACAAGAATAAGTTTGGTTTGGTTGCTGTTTAGTTATATTTTGTATACATTTTAATATATTTACCATATGTCCACTTTACAGCTCCTGGGTAACATAAAAAATCAAAAGTCCAACAGAGAGATGTTTGAATAAGATGATTATGTAAACGAAATAATAATAAGACTGATGATGTTAACCTAAACGATGGACAAATACTGTCAAATTTCATAAAATTCAAAATGAACAGTTTATTTAAATGATTCATTTATAGAGATGAAATTTCCGAAAGTACATATTGTTTAAGAGTGTAATTGTTAAATAATAAAACTAAATACTACATTATATTTATGATGTTACATAGTGTTACAAATAATAGTATAAAGTATTCAATGTGTGCTAGTTAATAAAAATGCACTTTTGTTGAGTAAAAAAATGTACTTTTATTACTTGAACAAATACATGTATATATAACACTCGTTTATCAGGGTTTCAGCGAAATTTAGCGCTTATCTTTTTTATTCCTTGAAACAAAAATATGTATAAAATGATTTCAGCGAAATTTAGCGCTTATCTAAGAATGCATGTCTAGAAACAATATTTTACTATATTTCAACGTTTATTTGACATGTTACTCTGCGTGAAGTAAGATATCAAGTTGAACAAGGCTGCGTCCCTTTCTGTTTTTACAGGGAAACTATTGAAATATTTACTTTGTTTTACATTTAAGTTTACAAGGCAAATGTAAGGAGAATCTATTATAAAGAACTAAACTTTAAGGGAATTTGAAATAAATCAGTCAGCAATTTGAAGGTTTCAACAAGAATTAAAAGTTTCACCATTGAAGGGAACGAAAATGATGGTTTTAAATTATTCCCTGCAGTTGTTATTCATTACAAAAGGCTAAATATAGGGCACACTGGCCAAATATTATACATTTTTATTAATAAAAATGTCAGGTATGGTTAGCAAAAAAATTAATTTCTAACAGCTTTATGCTTTCAACCGTTTGACATACCACCATAGAACTTGTTTATTCTAATTAAGCTACCATGTTTACCAAGGATCAAGTCTGTTTACGTGAATACTTCTGATATATCGCAGATGAATCAAAATACGACCTTGATGTTCAATATATCTGACCCTAGGTATCATGGCAACTGTTTTTCTTTAGCGTTTGACTGTTGAAGAGTTGTTCAGAAAAACCTAGAGACTAATCTTCATTGACCCGTAATAACGATTAGTTTTGACGATTTTAGTCACGCTACTTATAAAACAATAAAATTTAAATTGTACGGTTGCATAACAACCTCATGAATCATAAAAAAGAATGGATTTAATTCGCTATGATGTTGAAACAGTACCTTTAGACGCTTGCAGAAATCATAATCACAAAGTAATAAACAATATTGCTTTTTTCACCGATTCTTTCATTTTTCATTCTTTATCGTATATAAATCGGTGTGAAGAGGTGAACAAGACGTTTAAATGTTTATTTCGTTGAGTGGAAAGACGAGATTTTAGCATTAAATCATTTAGGCGCGTTGTCCGGTATATACTTAGTGTGGTGCTCCAACACCTTTTTAGTCTCATTCATAAAGAACATATTTTAAAACATGCAGTCGTTCCTGCATTACGCAATGACATATCATGAATACAGGATTCTTCATTTTCATTAACATTTGTGATAGCATTAATATCAAAGCCGATCGATACCATCAGATCTTAGACATACAGACAGGAATATCTTGCTCGATAGTAATTGTTACGGCGGCATCAATGTACGCTAAACAGTTACCCGACAGCTAGATATACAGGCTGTGATTAATTCTTTTTCTTACATATGACATATAAATCATATTAAGAAGGAGATTACGAAAACACCTATTTCATTTAGTACTTTTTTCTAATAGAAGCGTTTGAATTTACAACTTCTGTCTTAACAGCAAAATGAGTCATTCTAACATAAACGGCGCGCGGGAATGACGTGCAATAAAATACAATTTACAGCATTGCTAATAAATTAGATCTGCTTGTTGAATATAATTTTATTACTCTAGAGTCATATAAAAGTAAAATTTGTAAATAAAATGTTCATATACGTGCATTATTCTGGTTTGCGTGCTTGAAAAGCAATGGATCATAATTGTGAAATAAAATCGCGTGATTTTCTTCATATATTGCATTGATTGTACAATACTATTTGTCGTTTCATTAAATTTATATTAACCGGCTGTTGATGAAGTTTACGAATTTTTGTACATTCAATATGAATATTATTGTACTTTTTGTTGGTTTAGAACAATATTCGTATAAATTTTGTTTAATCTTCTCTAATTATTTAGTTGTCATAAAACGCTTTTTCATTACATGAACATTTTGAACGGATCGTAATGGTGTAAATAAGTTTGAATTGTTTCTTGCTGTTTCCATATTTCTGTGTAACTCTTCATTTCATGAAATGCTACAAGATAGCGACGATGATCCAATTTCAGAAACAAGATACATTGTATCATTTATGCGAAACAAATGATGCGTTATTAATACTGTATGATAAGAGTAAGAGCGTTCTAATGAAAGTTTAATGATATGCCGACTTTAAACTGTATTCCAGATGCATCCAGGCGGACTAGTAATGAATTGCACATTATTTGCGTTACCTGCTACAAAGACAATTTATCCGTGCTAATCACGTTATTCAACAAACGGTGATGCCTCTCAATTACTGATAGATCGAATATACACATTCTCGTACAGTTAACTATAATATACTCAAGTATTATCGACACACAAGCATTCGCTCCGTAGCGTCATAGAGTAACAGGGCATCAAAATCGCTCCATTCTTAATTTAATATACTCATCTTATTGGATTGTAAATTCTTATCAAAACTAACTTGAAGAAAAAAAACTGGATTATTACGATCATTATTACAGCGTGAGTTGTTTTTTTCATTTGATTTTTGCAATTGTGTTAAATTTATATACCATATATACATGCTTTGTTACTACTTAAATAGCACTTATTTATATAATCGGAATTTTCATATTTCAATTTTCCACGAACGAGTAAAATTGAGCAGGAATGCGAAGTATTTTAAATTAGACAACTGTTTTTAGAAGGATACAAGACAGTATTCAAATTGCTCAAAAATGCCTAAAAGATATTTTTAATTAAGATAAATAATACCATTATTTTTATTTATCAGTATTATAAATATGTAAATAATGAAGAACAAAATTAGGTTAATATATATATTTTTGATAAAGTTGAGTAAAGTCAAGGTAAACTTTCTGTTACGTCAAACCAATCATCGGTTGCCCACGGTATATATTACATACATACTACATTATTTACGGAATATATACTGGATATACATCATGTGTGAAACCTTGTGACATGAATATATGTCTGTACGTGTACGTCTTTGAAAATATATTTTCATAAACACACACAAGAAATTGTTTAGATAAGAAATGAAAAAATAAAATATACGTGTACGATATAATCCATGAGTTGTATGTAATTGGTATAGAGTAGTATCATATTTCGAGAATTCTCGTCGACTGACATTTGCGCGGAATTTATCATTTCTGTGTTAAACGTTGAATTCCATGAATTCTAGATTCTCAAACAAATGATGAAGTTGATTTAATTTGAGATATCAAGTAACATTCAATAGCCATGCATCTCTTACATAAGAAAGAAATTAATTCTTAAACGTAAAACTTTCACATCTTGAAAAAATATGATATCGTCACAACAAAAAAAATAATTAATATTCTAAAAAATTAAAGAAATATTTGCATAATTATATTAATAAGATTAAGTATAAAATATGTTGAAATGTTAAACTTGTCTACATCATCATCATAATGATCATAATCATCATCACAATTATCATCATCAAAACCCTTATCTTC